CGTGACCGCACTGCCCTTGAGCAGCTTACTCGGCCAGTTGCAGTCTCCCTCGCTGACCCCTCTGGGGTCCGGTCATTGCGACCTCCTCCACTGTCCTCCCTTGTCATGCGGTCCCGTCGGGCACACTGTCAGGTCTCTACCTCCCCTCGTTCTCTACGAACTTGGTGGCGGGTAGTGCGCTCCAGGACGGGGGTGTCCACCAGTTCACCCCTGCCTACGAGCGCGTGACACACTGCACGTGTGCTCGGACGAGTCGCCACCTGGCTACCTTCACTCGGCAGCCGGGGTCGGACCTGTACACACTGACCACTGAGTCCCCTCAGGTAGCTGCGTCTGCGTCTGCGTTAGGTCAGCTGTCGGCCCCCTGCTCGTGTCGCTCCCTGGCCCACGAGACCGTCCTCTGGCACCACCGCCTTGGTCACCCGTCCGTGCAGCGCCTTCGTGGCATGCACTCCCGGTACCTTGTCTCTGGTCTTCCCAGGGTTCTCCCTCCCCTCCCACCCTCGCCTGCTCCTCCTTGTCTTCCCTGTGTCGAGGGGCGGCAGCGCGCCGCTCCTCACTCCTTCTCTTTTCCCCCGACGACTGCTCCCCTGCAGACGCTCCACATGGACGTGTGGGGCCCAGCCCGCGTTCGTGGACAGGGTCACGAGAGGTACTTCTTGATAGTTGTTGACGACTACTCGCGCTACACCACGGTCTTCCCCTTGCGCACCAACGGTGAAGTCCCTGATGTTTTGATCCCTTAGATCCGCGCTGCCCGTCTCCAGCTCAGCGAGAGGTTCCACTCGGACTTTCCTGTCCTGCGTCTGCACTCTGACAGCAGAATGGGGTTGCTGAGCGCCGCATTGGCCTGGTCATGGAGGTCGCTCGTACCTCCTTGATCCATGCGGCTGCCCCCCACTTTCTGTGGCCGTTTGCGGTCCGATACGCTGCGCATCAGCTCAACCTCTGGCCCCGTGTCTCCGTTCCGGAGACTCGCCGACACTGCGTTGGACGGGAGAGGTTGGCGATGCGTCTCGTTTCCGGGTCTGGGGATCTCGAGCTTTTGTTCGCGATACGTCCGCGGACAAGCTCTCCTCCCGCGCTGTTCCTTGTGTCTTCCTTGGCTTTGTCCCGGACGCGTCTGGTTGGCAGTTTTACCACGCCACCTCGCGCCGTGTCCTGCCTTCACAGGACGTCACGTTCGACGAGTCGGTCCCCTACTACCGCCTCTTCCCCTACCGCACTGCCCCGCTCCCCCCCCCCGCCTCTCTTCCTCACACCAGGTGCTGCTGTGGTAGACCCCCTCCCCCCTCAGGGTGCCGCTCCCTCAGGTGTGTCCCAGGTAGACCCGGTTGAGCCTGTCGAGGTAGCTGTCGACTCTCGTCCTACTAGGGGTGCTGAGCCTGAGGTTGCTGAGTCTGGGGGTGCGGAGCCTGGGGGTGCTGAGCCTGAGGTTGCTGAGTCTGGGGGTGCTGAGCCTGCGGGTACGGAGCCTGGGGGTGCGGAGCCTGGGGGTGCTGAGCCTGAGGGTGCTGAGCCTGAGAGTGCTACGTCTGAGGGTACTGAGCCTGGGGGTGCTGCGACTGACCGTGCGGCGCCTGGAGGCGCTCCCTCTTCACAGCAGCTGCGTGAGTGGTACTCGCGGTACTGCAGCCTCAGGAGGGGCGCTTCTGGGGCTAGGGGTGCTGCTGGAGCTGGTGTTCGTGGTTCCCCGCCTAGGCGGGAGCCGCCCTCTCCCCAGCGGCTCCGAGAGTGGTACGCTCGGCGCTGCAGTCTCCGGAGTGGCGCTGCTGGTGCTTTGGACCCTGGAGCTGGAGCTGCTGCTGGTGCCGCGGACCCTGGAGTTGGAGCTACTGCTGGTGCTGAGGACCCTGGAGTTGGAGCTGCTGCTGGTGCTGAGGACCCTGGAGCTGGAGCCGCTGCTGGTGCTACGGACCCTGGCGCTGGTGCTGCTGGCGCAGGAGCTACTGGTGGTGCTGCTGGAGGTGCTGCTGGTGCTGGAGCTGCTGGAGACGCTGCTGGTGCTGGAGGTGCTGGAGGTGCTGGTGCTGCTGGCGCAGAAGCTGCTGGTGGTGCTGCTGGAGGTGCTGCTGGTGCTGGAGCTGCTGGAGACACTGCTGGTGCTGGAGGTGCTGCTGGTGCTGCTGGAGGTGCTACTGGAGCTGCTGGAGGTGCTGCTGGTGCTGGAGCTACTGGAGGTACTGCTGGTGCTGGAGCTGCTGGAGCCGCTGGTTCTGGAGGTGCTCGTGCTGGAGGTCCTGGAGCTGCTGGGGTTGCTGGTGGTGCTGCGGGAGTTGTAGCTGGAGACCCTGGGGCTGAGGGTACTGGTGCTGTCTCTGCTGGTTCAGGAGGTGCTGAGCGGCCGCGGCCGTACTACGTTCCGCTCCTTCAGCAGGTTCTTGGCCTCCCGCCCTCTCCTGGTCCTACTCCTCCCCTACTGAGTCCACCGCCTGTCCAGTCGCAGTCACAGTTACAGCCAGCCTCTCCACTGCCTGGTCCTTCTCCTTACGCTGAGCCGACGGGAGGTTTTACGGAGCGTCGTGAGCCTGAGTCTCGTCCTCCATCGCCTGAGTCTCGTCCAGAGTCGTCTGAGTCGCGTCCAGAGTCGCCTGTCCGCGCTGTCCGCGCTGGTCGTCGTGCTCCGCGTCAGCGTCCTCCTCCTGTCCTTGGCACTCACTATATGACCCTGCGTCCTTCCACTGCTCCACAGCGTGTCCCTCTGCCGGCTCCTCCAGCGTCCTCTCTTCCTGCTCTTGCTGACCCGGAGTCTGACTCTCTTCGTGCTGCCAGTCCTACTGTCACGCGTCTCCTCGCCACTGTTGTCACTGACCCTTCCTTTGAGTCCTCTGCTGTGTCTGCTCTAGTCGCTGAGCTTGTTGACTTTGCTGCCGCCTGTCGTCTAGACTACGCCGCTAGCCTTGTTGCTGAGTCTGAGTCTGTCTGTCCTCCGTCCGTCGGGGGTGAGTGTGCTCTTGGCACGGACGTCCTTGAGGACAGACAGGAGGAGTTTGAGTGCTTTGCTGCTGCTTTACCTCATCTCGTGTCCATGCTGATTGCCCCTGAGGGAGACCCGGATGCACCAGACATCCCGACCCCACGCTCTTACGCAGAGGCGATGGAGGGTCCCTACTCCTCTCAGTGGCAGACAGCCATGGACGCAGAGATGGCTTCCTGGAAGTCCACAGGCACCTACGTAGACGAGGTTCCCCCACCTGGGGCGAACATCGTCAGTGGCATGTGGATTTTCAGGGTGAAGCGGCCGCCGGGTTCTCCGCCTGTCTTCCAAGGCGCGTTACGTTGCACGAGGCTTCAGTCAGCGAGAGGGAGTTGACTTCTTCCAGACCTTCTCCCCGACCCCGAAGATGACCACTCTTCGGGTTCTGCTGCACGTCGCCGCTCAGCGTGACTACGAGCTCCACTCTCTTGACTTCAGCACTGCGTTCCTACAGGGCAGCCTGCACGAGGAGATCTGGCTGCGCCGCCCACCTGGCTTCACTGGGTCGTTCCCTCCTGGTACCCAGTGGAGCCTCCGGCGGCCAGTCTACTCGTGAGTGGCACGACACACTGAGGACTACTCTTGCTGCTCTTGGGTTTGCTCCTTCTACTGCTGACCCGTCGCTGTTTCTACGCACCGACACCACTCTGCCGCCGTTCTACGTTCTCGTGTACGTAGACGACTTGGTCTTTGCTACTGCTGACACTGAGGCACTCGCCCACGTGAAGTCGGAGCTGCAGAAGAGACACACGTGCACAGACCTGGGTGAACTGACAAGCTATCTTGGCTTGCGGATCACCCGGGACAGAGCACAGCGCACCATCACCTTGACTCAGTCACACATGGTGCAGCAGGTCCTTCAGCGCTTCCGCTTCACGTACTCCTCGCCTCAGCCCACTCCTCTGCCTACCGGTCACTCGCTCTCAGCTCTGCCTTCGGATGAGTCCGTGAAGCCGAATGGCCCGTATCCAGAGCTTGTGGGCTGCCTCATGTACCTGATGACCTGCACTCGACCTGACCTTGCATACCCTCTTAGCATCCTAGCACGCTATGTCGCTCCTGGCCGTCACCGGAAGGAGCACATGGATGCAGCTAAGAGGGTGTTGCGCTACTTGTGCAGTGCGTTGGGCATGGGGCTTGTGCTTGGAGGACGGGCTCGAGTTGTCCTCACTGGGCACTCAGACGCTTCTTGGGCTGACGACCAGGCTACGCAGCGGTCGTCTCAGGGTTACACCTTCAGCCTTGGCTCTGGTTCAGTTTCTTGGCGTTCTACACGCTCGTCTTCAGTTCTCAGCTCCAGTTGTGAGGCTGAGATCTACGCCACAGCCATGGCTGCACAGGAGTTACGCTGGCTCACCTACCTGCTGACCGACCTGGGAGAGCGGCCTCGTTCTCCTCCAGTGCTGTACGTTGACAACAAGGCCGCCATTGCCTTGTGTCAGGAGCACAGACTGGAGCACAGAACGAAGCACATCGCTCTGCGCTACTTCCTTGCTCGAGAGCTGCAGCAGCGTGGTCAGCTTCGTCTTGCTTACGTGGCCACTCGGGCCAACACTGCTGATGTGTTCACCAAGGCGCTTCAGCCTTGTGATCATCAGCGTTTCTGTACTGTTCTAGGCCTTGTGCCTACTGTCCCTCACTTGCTCACTTCTTGACTCTGCTTGTACTGTGATCTCTATATATATACCTGCATGCTTACACTTGCTAGGTTGTGATCACTGTACTTCTTGTTATATTATCAAACTGCATGTGAACTGGTCTTGTGACCGTTTGCTTGTGCTCGGAATTTGTGTGGTATCCTTGAGATCCACCCTGAGCTTGTTTTGCTTTGCTTTGCTTTGACTGGTCTTGTGACCCCTTGCTCTCCCCCACTTCGCCTATGGGGGTGTGTCAAACATTATATATGTTACTGCTGTGTAGGCTACAGTGGGTTAGCCTTTAGGGGGTACATTACTCTAGGGTTTCCTACTTGTACTCCCAATCTTGTTAGTTCAAACACACTTGTTCATTCTGACAGCTGCTGCTACCACTGCTGCGTATACTGGCCCTACTGCCGCCCACCAGGACATCACAAGTGCTCTTCCCCAATTTGCAGCAGTTCTCCACCACCAATTCCCGCAGCCGAGGCAGCTCAATCAGTGATCGCGGGAGCGATTTCAAACTATTCAAATCCCTGATGGTGAGCTTCTCAAGCACGGCTAGCTGGCCGAGAAACCGCGGGAGCGATTTCAAGCCATCTAAACACGCGAATGTGAGCGTCTGAAGCGTGGCCAGCTGGGTGAGCTCCTCCACCACGTCCCTCAGCTCGCTGCAGCCGTCCACGCGCAGGCTGGTGAGCGTGGGGGCGAGGGCAGCGAGAGATGCAGGGAGGGCGGTGAGGTGCGGCATGGCAACGAGAGAGAGCTCCCTCAGCCGTGTGAAGCGGCTGAAGCCGTCTGGCAGGGGCCCTCTCACGCACGGCAAGTGAAACATGCCCAGCTGTTCAAGCGAGGTCAGCCGGAAAAAGGACGGAGGCAGGTGGGTGAGGTTCTTGCAGTTGATAGTAAGCTCTTGCAGGCTGTGCAGTCCGTCGCCCATTGCACATGGTAACGCCACCATTGCAGGGCATTCACTCACTGTCAGCCGTGTGAGGGACGAGAGCAGGCACAGAGAGGCGGGCAGCTGCTGCAGCTGGGTGCACTCCACAATCTCAAGCCACCGCAGGCTGCTGAAGTTCCCCAAGTCGTCAGGCAGTGATGCTAGTGAGTGCAGACTGTGAAGAATGAGCTGCTGCAGTGCAGCGCCGAGAGGTAAGGAGTCAGGCAAGCGTGTGAAGCTGCCAGAGAATAGATTCAGCGATTGGAGGTTTGAAGACCGCCCGAAGCCATCTGGCAGCACAGGCAGCTTTGGGGCGTTGAGGTCGAGTGATGTGAGTGATGATAGGTCGGGCATGGAGGAAGGAAGAGACAAGAGGTCGTAGCAAGCGTTGATGGAAAGCGACTGCAGCCGCTTCAGCTGCCCGAAGGATTCAGGAAGGCCCGTGATCCCGTCGACCACCTCCATAACCAGGCTTTCCAGTGCTGGCAGCTGCCCGAAATTTCCGGGCAGTTCGGAGAGCGCATCGCAAAGCGTAATCTGGAACTCTTTCAGGGATTGAAGTTCAGGAAAGCAATCCGGCAGGCGGAAGCTCCTGCAGCCGCGGATGGTGAATCGGGTTAATTTCGCAAGCTCCCCAAAAGATTCGGGGAGTGAAGTGAGCGATTGACACACTTTCAGCTCCACCGACGTGAGGCAAGTGAGGCTGCCGAAATCCAGAGGCAGCTCTTGCAGGGAGGGCATGTGCAGCACGCACGTGCGCAGCGCGCGCAAGCTCGTGAAGGCGTCGGGGAGGCGGTGCGCATCCGCCGCGAGGTGCAGGTGAGCGAGGCGCGGCGCGAGGATGCTGATGGCGGCGGGAATGGCGGGCAGATCCGGCGGGGACTCGAGACAGAGGTCCTCGAGGCGCGTGCATCCCTCGAAGAGCCGCGAAAGGCCTTCTTCGGTGAAGCATTCAATGGGTGCGTCGTTGTCGTAGATGGTGTCATACATGGTGTAAAAGTGAAACTTAATCAGCTCGGGATGCGTGGCACCCAAGGTCGAGAGAAAACCTTCGGGAATGGATTTCAGACTCCGACCGGGCAGGATGAGTTCCTTTAGCCTCGGGAATGACGAGATCTCGGCGAGCAGTCGGCGCGCGTCCATGCGACGGTCGCCGCGCAGGTGAACGGTTCCATGCACGCGATACGCCACGTCGCGCCACTTCTTGCACACTAGCGCGTGGTGGAACATGCCGGACGCAGAAGCTAGATGGAGGATTTTCGCGAGCAGATCGTCTAACAACCGTTCGATCGGGGACTCGTCTGCCGTACTGATGGAGCTATGGCGAATGGACGGTACGGGGAGTGGCTCCGGTCGGTTAACTCCGAAGAAACGAAGAAGAAACATGGTTAACTCTGGTCCGTTAACTCCGTCAGTATGAGCAAACAGCTTCACGTGAAACCTAACATGCGGACGATCAGCATGAGGTAAAGTAAATGATTTTTGTAAGTGCGGGAGATAGGGCGTGGTACAAGTATTTTATATCTCGAATGTTTCCGTACTGGACCGATCTGAAGCTTGTCTAACCCAAGATTCGAAGTCGTATCATTCAACTTTGGAGGGCTGGTAACATTCTCACGAGATCCGGCTTTTGGGCGAAGGTGTTCCAGTGGTGGGGTACTGTACCCAGGCTCATTGCCTGCCGGAGTGCGACACCACCCAGCTGACCCTGCTGGTAGTTGAAGAAGGCATTCCCGTAGGAGAAGCGGGCCTTCCTCTCACGCGCCTTGTTGGGATTCGCCTTGCAGGCATGCATGGGAATACGGTAGTACTCGATGAGAGAACCACCTCCATCGCTAGCTCCGAATAGAAACAGCTGCTAGTCTAGGATGTTCCACGCTATTCGCATCTTCGTAGCAGGTCACCGAGGCGCTATGCCAAGATGAAATGCTAGTTACACATGCTAGTAGACGTTCTCCTGGAATGTAGTATAGTCCTCCCGGATTCTTCTTGTATCATCTTTCCATCATTCTATCTTGAATCGATCTTCTTGAATTTCTATCTTTATCTCTTGACATCTGCGGATTAGCTCTCTCGATCGGAATCTTCTCCTAGCTCTCTTCCGCTGCGACTACTCGACCTCTATTTACGATCGCTACTTCACCGTCTTGATGGCGACGCGCCCGGCCAGCCGCGCGGAGCGTGACACCGTCGCAGCCTCGGCGAACTTTGAGGCCGCTCAAGCTGAAACCTCAATGCATTCACTGGCTCAAGCTGTAAGGCTCGATCCGACATGTAGCGATCCCTTTACCCGCTTCTCCGACGATCTTCTCGGCTCCGTTCTTCTCCTGGCTGTGTCGAAGGGCACCAGATTCGACGGCGGCGATTCAGCTGTCAGCAGCGAGGATAGTTTGCAGAAGTTGATTGAGACTGCCTTGAACGAGCCCCTTCCGAGTGAGAGCGCGTGCTTCGGCATGCCTGAGGCTTCTGTTGCCATGGCCTCGTCGTTATATCCTTCTGCCACGCTCTCGTGTGCAAGCGGTGGCTGCGCGTCGCCAGATCCGTGCATCCCGCCATCATCGTGCCTCGCAGCCGATTCTTCTCCGCAAAAACTCTTGCGTCCCTTCTGTCCTCGTCGGGATTTCCGAATCGCCATTTGCACCTCGGCGAATTCGCGACGGGTGTCGTCGATCGCAATCTCGTGCGATCCATCTGCGACGGGGTTGGCTCCTCCTTGACCCATCTCACCGTTCATCTGTACGATCGACGTCTGGATTCGTCCGAGCAGCACACATGCGGCGTCGAGGCAGTGTCGTCTGGTTGTTCAGCGATCTCGTCCTCCGATATTGCCGACGTCTTCAAATCCTGCACGCGATTGGTCAATCTGGGCCTGCTGCTGCGTGAAGGCGTCGGGGAGATTCCGGGGTCCATCAGCTGCCTGCAGCAGCTTTCGAGGCTCAGCTTGAGACTAGGTTACGATATTACCGAGTTACCAGCGGAGCTTGGCAGCTTGTCACGGCTCAAGAACTTTACACTGATGTCAGAATCGCTTGAAACGCTACCCGATTACTTTCACGGCCTCACCTGCCTAGAGCATCTTGATCTCCTCAACTGCCCTTTGACACACCTACCCACTAATTTTGGACAGCTGCAAAACCTCAAGAGCCTCAGTCTGTCGTCCTTGAATGGCCTAGATGAGCTGCCAGCCTCCTTCTGTCAGCTTCCTGCCGTCTCTCGACTATCTCTCAAGCGCTGCTGCTATCTCGCTAGTCTGCCCGAAAACTTTCATGAGCTATCAAGCCTAGAAATACTGCACCTGGAGAGGCTCAATGCGATAACTGCCTTTCTTGAATCGTTCGGCCACCTGCCAGCTTTGCAGAATCTGCAAATTTGTGACTGCTCAAGGCTCACGCAACTGCCAGACTCGCTTTGTGCCAGCCAATCGCTTCACCATCTCACCGTCAGGCGCTGCGTGTGCCTTAGGTCTCTTCCAGAGAACGTGGGTCATATCGCTTCTCTCCAGTACCTGAATCTGGAATTTCTTGATGAGCTGACTCGAGTTCCCCACTCCCTTGGCCACCTAGCTGCTCTCAAGGAGCTGAATATCGTTGACTGCCGCAATCTCCAGGCTTTTCCACAGTCAGTAGCCGCGATGGAGTCTCTCACTCGTCTCGTTCTTGGCAAGTGCGATCTTCCTGTGCTGCCCGAAGACATCGGGCAGCTTACAAGTTTGGTTTCGCTGAAGGTGACCTGTAGCCGACTTGAGAGCCTGCCCAGTTCTTTCGAGGAACTGCGGAACCTGAAGGAGCTGATTCTATTGGAATGCTACGACCTACGAGTTCTCCCCTCGTCCTTTTCCAACCTCTCTTCTCTCGAAACCCTACTCATCTACGGGGGAACCTCTCTCCAATCTCTCCCTGAGGGTTTTGAGCATCTCCCGAAGCTGCGTAGACTAGAGCTGTTCAACTGCGCCCTTCAACGGCTACCAGTGGGGTTTGGGAAGCTGGCAAACCTGGAAGTTCTAAAGGTTGGAACCAAGGAGGGGTATGACAGGCACGGGCTGGGTGATAACGAATGGCTGGATGATAACATGGATCTCTTGGGGTCTTGCTCGCTGAGCACTCTGCCATGGTCGCTTACTCGCCTCGCCCGTCTGGAGGAGCTGGTTATTGATGGATGTGATTCGCTTCATGATCCGCCAGTAGGGATGGGCAATCTGTCCAGCCTTAAGGTACTCAAGGTGAAGAATTGCGACCAGTTGTCCTACTTAGCCTCGCTCTTCACCCCACGCATGCTGGCCCCTGCCACTGGGGCAGTGCCATCTGCTCCTGCTGCAGCACATGATCTTCCTTGCCCTTCCCTTCAAGAATTGGAGATTTCTGGCTGTCCTCGTCTGAGCAGCCTGCCTGAGGGCCTGCATTTCCTGCCTAAACTTGAGCACCTCACTCTGCAAGACTGTCGCAGCATGATTTTTACAGAATGGCGCTCACTCTTCTCTCTTCTCCTCTCTCTCACGACCATCATAATTTCCAACACGTTCCAGAACGCCAAATGCCTCCCAGAGTCCGTTCTCTCCCTCAGCCACCTTCGTTACTTGGACCTACGCCACCTCCGATTGGATGAACAGCTCATAGCCCCTTCTGCTGTAACTGATACCCCGGCTCGAGCCCAAGGCGGAGGGATAGGAGTTCCCGCTCATGCTCCTCCTGGCAAGCTTCAGAACATGCCTCCAATCCTTGGCCAGGCTAGTTTGAAGCTTCTGTCATCTCTGGTTCACCTCCGCATTTCCAGCAGTTACCTCCCTGGACTGCCGGGTAATCTGGACGAGCTCAGAGAGCTGAAGGTGCTGATGCTAGACAAGTGTCATCTCATCTCCTCCCTTCCGCCTGCCCTCTGTAATCTCTCCAAGCTTGAACAGCTCAGTCTCGATTCGCTCCCTCTAACACATCTTCCGGACAATCTTGGACAGCTCACAGCTCTCGTCAACTTGACTCTGCAGTCGTGCAAGTCCCTGCAAGGCCTGCCCTCCTCCCTCACTCTGCCCTCGTCCCTCAGACTGATGACCATTGCAAACTGCCCCAGAATCAGCAGCCTCCCAGACTCCATCTCCTCCCTCTCGCATCTCACCTCTCTGGAGCTTAGGAGTCTGCATGGTCTGTATCTCCTCCCCTCCTCCCTCGCCCTCCTCCCATCGCTCGTCAAACTCTCACTTCAAGGCTGCAAGTGGCTGCAAGCTCTGCCCGACGGTCTGGGCAGTTTGTCCTGTCTGAGGGAGGTGGAACTGGGTGGATGCGCCAAACTGACTGAGCTACCGCAGTCGCTGCAGAAGAGGATGAATGTGATTGAAGTGAAGGGCAGATGGGGCAGGCGCAGAGGGCAGAGGGAGCCGCATCAGGGGGAGGCTGTTTACTAGGGGGAGAAGAGACCAAGTGAAGTGACTCAACAACATGCTACGGTACTTGCGCATAAATTGTTAATCACAACTTTCTACCGTATTATGTGGACTCTGATGGAGTTCGCAGTCAGGAGCTACAAACATTCACATTCTATACGGCGGTGCCTCTCATTAGGTTGGTTTGGCACATGAGCTTATAAATCCGATTCATTCAAGGTGCATGCACGCACCGCACACCCAATTTCTTCTCTAGATCCCGGGTATGATTGTGCGTCAAAAGGAAAAGCAGCAACCTAAAAAAAGTCTGAACGACACGTCTCTTTGCATCAAGTGTTTTGAGAACGTTGCAGAACACCAGGAACCATGTTGTGCTTAAAGTGATGGTACTTGACTACCGTATAATATCACACAAACGAGAGACAAATACAGGCATCCCTAAAGCGCTATGTGTACAATCAAGTAAAACTGATAAACGCAAATGGGGGTGCATTCATCCAAGGGGACACGGTAACCCTTCTCCTTTTCTCTTCACCGTGGCCGTCACATCTCCATAGCATCTTCCCCATGCACTCCGCCTGCTTTCTTCTTCGCTTTCTTCTTCTTTTTCTTCTTCTCCAAGGCTTGTTGGGCTTGCCTCGTAGCGAACTTGGTAGGGAGAGGGGGAGGGGCGACTGCCGAAGGAAGAGTGTTTGAGAGGTGCTGCTGAATGGCTGTGAAGGGGTTGGATTTGAAGGCGGGGTGTGACAGCACGGCAGCCATTTGCTTGGTCTCTTCAACTCTGGAGTCAGCAGGTATGCACAAATAGTGAGAGACACAAAAACGAGATTAGAGTGAAATGGTAACTGTATTACAGCATATACTGAAATGAACAGAACATAGGAAACGAGCACATTATTCCAGCATCGATATGAGTGTGCAAGGGGGGAGGACGAAAGAACCAGCTTGCGTACGCCGTACGCTGGTTTCATATCAACGACAAGAGCAAGCACAGCACGCCATGCCATGCACCGCACGACACACTCACACGATCTTCCCGCGCTGCTTCGCAGACAGCCGCTTCTCCCCCTCCTTGCCCAGAGCCAGTGCATCTGACAGGGCGTCCCCCAGCGATGATGCGAGTGTATCCAGTGTGAGGCTCGTTGGCAGGTTGGTGACTGCGCCTTTCTTCTTCTTCTTAGACGCCTTCTTGGTCTGTTGGGATTGGGACAGGCACACAGTGAGCGAGTGAGAGCACAGGAAAGGGCGTCCCCCAGCGATGATGCGAGGGTGTCCAATGTGAGGCTGGCTTGTAGGCTCGAAAGAGCACCCTATTTCTTCTTCTTAGACGCCTTCTTGGTCTGTTGGGAGGGAGTGGGGGGACGGCACACAATGAGAGAGCCAGTGCATGCATCCGGCAGGGTGTCCCCCAACCATGAATCGAGGGTGTCCGATGTGAGGCTGGCTGGCTGGCAGGCTGGAGACTGCTCCTTTCTTCTTCTTCTTAGAAACCTTCTGCTTCTGTTGGGGGGGGGGGGGAGGGGGAGAGAGGGGGGTACACAGTGAGTGAGTGGAAACACAGAAAACGGCCTCTCCCAGCCATTAATGTTGGAGATTTTCCTTCGCTTGTTTTACTTGACTGCATTTTTAGTCGGTTGAGGATGAAGGAGAGGGGAAGAGAGGGGTTGCATGCAGGGTGTGTGTGTACTGGCGAGCGTGAACGGAAGGCGGGAAGAGCCTTACCCTTATGGGTAGGGTTTAGGGTTAGGGATTCACTAACCCTAAGGTGGGAGAGAGTGTGAAAGTGAGAAAATGAGAAAAAAATGTTAGCATGCTGTCACATCGCTCGCATGCTACCATGATGCTTGCATGTGTAACCGTACCTTTGAGTCTCCCCGAGCAGCAGCAATGAGAGTTTGTGTTCGCCTCAAATCTGGCGCACAACAATGGGCAGGGAAGGAGGAGCAGGATCATGAGCTTCAATGCCCACCCACATGCACTTGCTACAGCCACACCACACCAGTCATGCACATTATCAGTGCTAACCCCTCACCAAATTGACATCGTCACTGCTACAGTCACACCTGCTACACTCACTGTCCATGAGCCTTGTCTGCTTGGCAGCCCTTTTCTGCACTCGCCGGCTCTCCGTCGCCTGCTGTGCCCTGCCAGCCATAGCCAGTTCCACATGGGAAAGGGTTGGAGGGAAGCGACACACGAGGGGGGGAGTGGATGAGAAGTGAAGAGCCGCATCTGCTTGGCAGCTCTCTTCTGCACTCGCCTGCTCTCCGTCGCCTGCTGTGCCCTGCCACACGTTACCAGCAGTTCCAGTAGGAATGGGTTCGAGGACAAGAAAGGGTAAGCTGCTGGAACAGAAGAACATCGATTGAGACACGGAGGCGAGGAAGGAAACAGGGAAGGGGAGGTTGGGCAAAGGAGGGCGAGGGGGGTGGTGGGACGGGAAGAGTGACAGAAGCTAGTAGACAAAATCGATTTTTTGAAGGAGAGCAAGGGGGGGGGCCAAGGGCGTACCCTGCTTCTTCCGCCCCTTCATTGTCCGCCTCCCTCCCTTCCACAGGCGTTGATGCAAGCGCAGCCGGCTTATTAGCAGCCTCAGCAGCTGATCCCTGCCAATCACCACACAGAAAAAAAAAACGGAAAGTCGGAGAGGGGAAGGATGGGGGGGGAAGAGGAGAGGGGGGGGGGTAGGGGGAAAAGGGTGGTGGTTGGGTGGGTTGGGTGGCTTGATCACATTGAGGTGCTAATTTGATTGAATCATTCATTCATAAGAATATTCATCACACGTGCATGAACAAATTCTCGCCAGTTATAAACGTTGACCACATATAAACGAGATCACCGAGCTTACTTGTCGGCTACAAGGGAAAATCCTGTTGATTAAACTGTTACAAATCCTCAGCACAACTACTTTACACCAGCTCATCTCGGCTCGCCTAGCCAAAAAGCTACTCTCGTTTGCTCGCTTAGCCAAGCCAGGTAGCATTGCTATATTACTGCTGGAACGAGTAAGGAGCTCTAAGCGGTTGGTCAGGATCGGTGGCCGGCACACCTTGGCAGCATCTGCGGGCGCTGCAGCACGCTTGCTCTTCTTCTTCGCCATTCGCTGCAGCAGAAGAAGCAGCAGCGCCTGGCGGACAGACGAAGCAGCACGAGTCGCTCAAGCTCAGGGCTGACAGGTGGAGACGGGCTAGACGGCTGAGATGAGGTGATGATCAGGATGGACGGCCAAGATGAAATTCCCTTGCTGTGAGTGGGGAGCGGATTGACATGAGGATTGGAGGGAGTGGGGAGAGGGAGAGGGGATGGGGGGAGGTAGAAGAAAGGGGAGGAGCAGAGGGGAGTAGCGGAGGGAAGTGGGGGGGCGAGGACAGGCGAGAGGAGGGAGCAAACTGGGGAAGCATGGGAGAAAGGAACGTACGAGTAATGATGTAACGAGTAAAGAACAGTAGTACGGAGAGTGCGGAGGGGAGGAGTGGGGAGGGACGAGAAGCGAGAGGCGAGAGGCGAGAGGGGCGGGGCCTGGCGCAAAAAGTGCGGATGGCGGGGGGTGTGACGCGCGGGGTGTGTGACGTGCGGGGGGGGAGGGGGGAGAGGGGGGGTGACGAGGAGGGGGTGTGACGAGCTGGGGAGTGACGGGCCAGGGAAAGAGAGCGGTGTGAGGCGCCTCAAAGCACGCACAGGAGCACGGGGCAGCGAGCTGGCGACGGGGAGAGAGATCGGGATCGCGAACAGGGGAGTGAAGGGTATAGCGGGGTGGTTGAGGGTAAGGGGTATAGAGACTGAGGGTTGTGGGGAGGGGGTTGAGGGTAGGGAGAGGGAACGAGATGGATGCGACAAGGCACTGTAGCGGGCGAGAGAGAGAGAGAGAGAGACGTGCGAACGGCAAAGGGTGAGGTACAGACGGTATGGAGGGGCGACCGGGGCGAGGAAGGGCGAGAGCGAGGGGCGAAGAGCGAGAGGCGAAGGGCGAGAAGAAGATCGATTAACGTAATTGATTTCCCAGGAACGAAGGGACAAGACGGGCGAGGAAGGGCAAGGCGGCAAGGCGGAAAGAAGGGACAAGACGGGCGAGGCTGAATAAGCAGCGCGTGGCGGCAAGGGGAGAGCGCGCGGTTCGAGCGACGATTACACTACGGACGAAAGAATGCGCCTATTCCAAGCCATCCGCACCTGGAAGAATTCGTTCGTTGGCTCGATGGCACAGCGAGAGCAGACACGCGCGACCCTCAATCGGCGACGTGCACTTGAAGCGAGATCGTTTGATTCTGAAAGCTTCTGGTCGGCCTACTGCCCAGGCACGAGGAGTAGAAATAAATTGGATTTTGACAAGTGGTTTCGTGCTGATGGTGCTTTTCCAAATCAGCAGGTATGTATGGGTGCTTCACGGTAACAGCATGGTGAAGTCAATAAGGGAGAAGAGAGTGTGCAGACTTTTGTAACGCGAATACTCTTGCATATAGACAGGTAGTGTTACCCCAGACATAAAATTTCACATGTATTTAATTGCATCAAGGCCTCTCGCAAGCATTATATTCTTGGATGTCCATATCTCTCCGATTGATACACCCTGACTGTGTCCGCTTGACGGAGCGCGCTGTAAAGCAGATATTTTGAAGGGAGCAAACTCTGGAGTCCGCAACTCCGTCGACTTTGCTTGCGAAAATGACGCCTTCAACTCAAGGACCAGCTTTGTCCCTCACACCGCCCATCATTTCAAGCACAGCCGTCCGTCGTCCTAGCGGCGCGCATTACATCTCAGGAGGAACCATCGTAACTGTCCGTCCCACCGCAGCTGGAGAATAGGGATTTGCCGACCTATCGTATCGTATCGTATCAAGAAGATCGTATCATCCGCCTTCCCCACGTGACATGACCTCCTTGACTTGCCTTCTCGGGAATTCCGCCTCCCCGCATTCCGCCTTGCCCTTCCGCCACCTCTCCTCCCCGCTCGTCCTCCCGCTCCGCGCTCCCCCGCCCGCATTCTTCCGTCGCCGCTGCAAAACACTCCGAATTCGCGAACTCCGACGCTGCGAAGACAACCGAAGGGTGGTAACAGTAACAGGGTCGTTCGGGGGAAACCGGGGAGCGGGGGACGGGGGGAGCGTGCGGAGGGGTGACGGGCGCGGCGGGGATCATGCGCGGCGGCGGGAATGGCGCGGGGATCAGACAGAGCCGTACGAGGGAAGAGTCCGCGAAATGGGAGGGGGGAGAAGATGGGGGGGTGGGGAGGGAAGGGGAGAGGGGAGAGGAGAGGTGAGAGGAGAGGGGATCGAAGGGAACCGGAGGGGAGGCGGAAGGGGGGGAACTGATGACGAGGAGCGGGAATCATGGCGCCCCGAAAGGGCGCGGCGGACTGAGGCCAGTCCATCGCGTTTGTTGGACGCTTATTCCGACCGCGATTTACGGAATTCAGGGAATTCACGCGACTCACGCTATTCACAGGATGAGGTTTCATCGCGTTCCCCCTCGTCGCGCCGCCCGCCCTCCGGAAATCGAGCGAGCGCGGACGGCTGGGGGGACTACGGCGCGACGGAACCCATCGGCGCAGCCTCGATGAGCGCAGGGGGGCCTAGCGGAGCCCCGCGATCCGCTGGCGCGCGGGCGGCTGGCGGAGCAACCGGAGCCGGCGACGGAACCAGCATCGGCGCAACAGGGAGGGGCGCAGGGGGGAAGACTCCGCCGAAACACCCCCTGGCGCGGCGGCTGCGCGGGAAGAAAACCGAAGAAACCCTAGCCAAGGAGATTGGCGTGGTGATGGTTCAGCTGGGGAAGCTGGAGGCGGGGGGGGAGCGGCAAGTGCGGCACGTGCTGCGGAAATACGCCAAGTGCTTTGGACCAGAGTGCGTTTTAGGCGCTCTGAACGAGCTCATGCGCCGGAACGACGTGGACCGTACGATCGAGGCGTTTGAGTGCATCCGGACCGCCCACTGGTTCGAGCCGGATCCGATGCTGTATGCGCGTATGATAGGGGTGCTGGCGCGGAACTCGCGGACTGACACTGCTGCTGCGCTCTTTGCCTCTATGGATGGCGGCCCTGCTGTGCCCCTCACTGGGGGAATGGCCATGCTGGTGGGCGCAGGGGGGGGTGGGGGGAGTGGTGTGGGAGGGGCTGGGAGGGGTGGTGTGAGGGATGGTGTGAGGGAGGGTGGGAGAGGGAATCGTTGGGGTTCTAGCAGTGATGACGATGATTCCAGTGGTGATGACGTGGATGGGTCTGATGATGAGCTGGCACCAGGCCCAGGGTATGATGACGAGGATGAGGATGACCCGGATGGGGACCGGTGGGGCACGAGCAAGGGACGGCGGAGGCGACTCAAGAAGAAAGTCGCTGCTGCTGCCACTGCAGGTGGAAGAAGCAGAGGAGGGAGAGGAACAGGAGAAGGCGCAGGAGGAGCAGACACATCAGCAGCAGCAGCGTTGGCGCGGTTACCGCGGTTGAAGGCGTGTGTGCGCACGCCGTCAGTGTATGCAGCGATGATAGAGGCGTACGGGCGCCGCCACCAGGCCACGGCTGCCCTCGCACTGCTGCACCAGATGAAGGCCACTCCTGGCTGTGCTCCTGACGCCGCGGCCTATGGGTGAGCGAGCTTGTTTTCTCATGTGACTTTCATTCATTCACAGTAAGTGATTACCCACTCATACATATCCGGCTGCCCTCGCACTGCTGCACCAGATGAAGGCCACTCCTGGCTGTGCTCCTGACGCCGCGGCCTATGGGTGAGCGAGCTTTTTTTCTCATGTGACTTTCATTCATTCACAGTAAGTGATTACCCACTCATACATATCCGGCTGCCCTCGCACTGCTGCACCAGATGAAGGCCACTCCTGGCTGTGCTCCTGACGCCGCGGCCTATGGGTGAGCGAGCTTGTTTTCTCATGTGACTTTCATTCATTCACAGTAAGTGATTACCCACTCATACATATCCGGCTGCCCTCGCACTGCTGCACCAGATGAAGGCCACTCCTGGCTGTGCTCCTGACGCCGCGGCCTATGGGTGAGCGAGCTTGTTTTCTCATGTGACTTTCATTCATTCACAGTAAGTGATTACCCACTCGTACATATCCGGCTGCCCTCGCACTGCTGCACCAGATGAAGGCCACTCCTGGCTGTGCTCCTGACGCCGCGGCTTATGGGTGAGTGAGCTTGTTTTCTCATGTGACTTTCATTCATTCACAGTAAGTGATTACCCACTCATACATATCCGGCTGCCCTCGCACTGCTGCACCAGATGAAGGCCACTCCTGGCTGTGCTCCTGACGCCGCGGCTTATGGGTGAGTGAGCTTGTTTTCTCATGTGACTTTCATTCATTCACAGTAAGTGATTACCCACTCATACATATCCGGCTGCCCTCGCACTGCTGCACCAGATGAAGGCCACTCCTGGCTGTGCTCCTGACGCCGCGGCCTATGGGTGAGCGAGCTTGTTTTCTCATGTGACTTTCATTCATTCACAGTAAGTGATTACCCACTCATACATATCCGGCTGCCCTCGCACTGCTGCACCAGATGAAGGCCACTCCTGGCTGTGCTCCTGACGCCGCGGCCTATGGGTGAGCGAGCTTGTTTTCTCATGTGACTTTCATTCATTCACAGTAAGTGATTACCCACTCATACATATCCGGCTGCCCTCGCACTGCTGCACCAGATGAAGGCCACTCCTGGCTGTGCTCCTGACGCCGCGGCCTATGGGTGAGTGAGCTTGTTTTCTCATGTGACTTTCATTCATTCACAGTAAGTGATTACCCACTCATACATATCCGGCTGCCCTCGCACTGCTGCACCAGATGAAGGCCACTCCTGGCTGTGCTCCTGACGCCGCGGCCTATGGGTGAGTGAGCTTGTTTTCTCATGTGACTTTCATTCATTCACAGTACTTGATTACCCACTCATACATATCCGGCTGCCCTCGCACTGCTGCACCAGATGAAGGCCACTCCTGGCTGTGCTCCTGACGCCGCGGCTTATGGGTGAGTGAGCTTGTTTTCTCATGTGACTTTCATTCATTCACAGTAAGTGATTACCCACTCATACATATCCGGCTGCCCTCGCACTGCTGCACCAGATGAAGGCCACTCCTGGCTGTGCTCCTGACGCCGCGGCTTATGGGTGAGTGAGCTTGTTTTCTCATGTGACTTTCATTCATTCACAGTAAGTGATTACCCACTCATACATATCCGGCTGCCCTCGCACTGCTGCACCAGATGAAGGCCACTCCTGGCTGTGCTCCTGACGCCGCGGCCTATGGGTGAGTGAGCTTGTTTTCTCATGTGACTTTCATTCATTCACAGTAAGTGATTACCCACTCATACATATCCGGCTGCCCTCGCACTGCTGCACCAGATGAAGGCCACTCCTGGCTGTGCTCCTGACGCCGCGGCTTATGGGTGAGTGAGCTTGTTTTCTCATGTGACTTTCAGTCATTCACAGTAAGTGATTACCCACTCATACATATCCGGCTGCCCTCGCACTGCTGCACCAGATGAAGGCCACTCCTGGCTGTGCTCCTGACGCCGCGGCCTATGGGTGAGTGAGCTTGTTTTCTCATGTGACTTTCATTCATTCACAGTAAGTGATTACCCACTCATACATATCCGGCTGCCCTCGCACTGCTGCACCAGATGAAGGCCACTCCTGGCTGTGCTCCTGACGCCGCGGCTTATGGGTGAGTGAGCTTGTTTTCTCATGTGACTTTCATTCATTCACAGTAAGTGATTACCCACTCATACATATCCGGCTGCCCTCGCACTGCTGCACCAGATGAAGGCCACTCCTGGCTGTGCTCCTGACGCCGCGGCTTATGGGTGAGTGAGCTTGTTTTCTCATGTGACTTTCATTCATTCACAGTAAGTGATTACCCACTCATACATATCCGGCTGCCCTCGCACTGCTGCACCAGATGAAGGCCACTCCTGGCTGTGCTCCTGACGCCGCGGCTTATGGGTGAGTGAGCTTGTTTTCTCATGTGACTTTCATTCATTCACAGTAAGTGATTACCCACTCATACATATCCGGCTGCCCTCGCACTGCTGCACCAGATGAAGGCCACTCCTGGCTGTGCTCCTGACGCCGCGGCTTATGGGTGAGTGAGCTTGTTTTCTCATGTGACTTTCATTCGTTCACAGTAAGTGATTACCCACTCATACATATCCGGCTGCCCTCGCACTGCTGCACCAGATGAAGGCCACTCCTGGCTGTGCTCCTGACGCCGCGGCCTATGGGTGAGCGAGCTTGTTTTCTCATGTGACTTTCATTCATTCACAGTAAGTGATTACCCACTCATACATATCCGGCTGCCCTCGCACTGCTGCACCAGATGAAGGCCACTCCTGGCTGTGCTCCTGACGCCGCGGCCTATGGGTGAGTGAGCTTGTTTTCTCATGTGACTTTCATTCATTCACAGTAAGTGATTACCCACTCATACATATCCGGCTGCCCTTGCACTGCTGCACCAGATGAAGGCCACTCCTGGCTGTGCTCCTGACGCCGCGGCTTATGGGTGAGTGAGCTTGTTTTCTCATGTGACTTTCAGTCATTCACAGTAAGTGATTACCCACTCATACATATCCGGCTGCCCTCGCACTGCTGCACCAGATGAAGGCCACTCCTGGCTGTGCTCCTGACGCCGCGGCCTATGGGTGAGTGAGCTTGTTTTCTCATGTGACTTTCATTCATTCACAGTAAGTGATTACCCACTCATACATATCCGGCTGCCCTTGCACTGCTGCACCAGATGAAGGCCACTCCTGGCTGTGCTCCTGACGCCGCGGCTTATGGGTGAGTGAGCTTGTTTTCTCATGTGACTTTCAGTCATTCACAGTAAGTGATTACCCACTCATACATATCCGGCTGCCCTCGCACTGCTGCACCAGATGAAGGCCACTCCTGGCTGTGCTCCTGACGATGCGGCCTATGGGTGAGTGAGCTTGTTTTCTCATGTGACTTTCATTCATTCACAGTAAGCGATTACCCACTCATACATATCCGGCTGCCCTCGCACTGCTGCACCAGATGAAGGCCACTCCTGGCTGTGCTCCTGACGCCGCGGCCTATGGGTGAGTGAGCTTGTTTTCTCATGTGACTTTCATTCATTCACAGTAAGTGATTACCCACTCATACATATCCGGCTGCCCTCGCACTGCTGCACCAGATGAAGGCCACTCCTGGCTGTGCTCCTGACGCCGCGGCTTATGGGTGAGTGAGCTTGTTTTCTCATGTGACTTTCATTCATTCACAGTAAGTGATTACCCACTCATACATATCCGGCTGCCCTCGCACTGCTGCACCAGATGAAGGCCACTCCTGGCTGTGCTCCTGACGCCGCGGCTTATGGGTGAGTGAGCTTGTTTTCTCATGTGACTTTCATTCATTCACAGTAAGTGATTACCCACTCATACATATCCGGCTGCCCTCGCACTGCTGCACCAGATGAAGGCCACTCCTGGCTGTGCTCCTGACGCCGCGGCTTATGGGTGAGTGAGCTTGTTTTCTCATGTGACTTTCATTCGTTCACAGTAAGTGATTACCCACTCATACATATCCGGCTGCCCTCGCACTGCTGCACCAGATGAAGGCCACTCCTGGCTGTGCTCCTGACGCCGCGGCCTATGGGTGAGCGAGCTTGTTTTCTCATGTGACTTTCATTCATTCACAGTAAGTGATTACCCACTCATACATATCCGGCTGCCCTCGCACTGCTGCACCAGATGAAGGCCACTCCTGGCTGTGCTCCTGACGCCGCGGCCTATGGGTGAGTGAGCTTGTTTTCTCATGTGACTTTCATTCATTCACAGTAAGTGATTACCCACTCATACATATCCGGCTGCCCTTGCACTGCTGCACCAGATGAAGGCCACTCCTGGCTGTGCTCCTGACGCCGCGGCTTATGGGTGAGTGAGCTTGTTTTCTCATGTGACTTTCAGTCATTCACAGTAAGTGATTACCCACTCATACATATCCGGCTGCCCTCGCACTGCTGCACCAGATGAAGGCCACTCCTGGCTGTGCTCCTGACGCCGCGGCCTATGGGTGAGTGAGCTTGTTTTCTCATGTGACTTTCATTCATTCACAGTAAGTGATTACCCACTCATACATATCCGGCTACCCTCGCACTGCTGCACCAGATGAAGGCCACTCCTGGCTGTGCTCCTGACGCCGCGGCTTATGGGTGAGTGAGCTTGTTTTCTCATGTGACTTTCATTCATTCACAGTAAGTGATTACCCACTCATACATATCCGGCTGCCCTCGCACTGCTGCACCAGATGAAGGCCACTCTTGGCTGTGCTCCTGACGCCGCGGCCTATGGGTGAGCGAGCTTGTTTTCTCATGTGACTTTCGTTCATTCGCAGTAAGTGATTACCCACTCATACATATCCGGCTGCCCTCGCACTGCTGCACCAGATGAAGGCCACTCCTGGCTGTGCTCCTGACGCCGCGGCCTATGGGTGAGCGAGCTTGTTTTCTCATGTGACTTTCATTCATTCACAGTTAGTGATTACCCACTCATACATATCCGGCTGCCCTCGCACTGCTGCACCAGATGAAGGCCACTCCTGGTTGTGCACCTGACGCGGCGGCATATGGGTGAGCGAGCTTCTTCTTTCATGTGAGATTCATTCACAATGATTGATCATTCACTTGTAGATATACGGCTGTCCACGCCCTGCTGCACCAGAAAAAGACCGCCCTGGGTTGTGCTCCTCACGCTGCAGCGTATGGGTGAGTGAGTGAGGTTCTTCACTCCTGTGTGCCGCGTCACTTTCACAGTGAGCGTTTCTGAGTTGTATTTAGGGTACAACAGCACACATGATGAGCAAATGCCCTGGTCGGTTCTTGTCGACCCGACCCGACGCTGATTGTTTGCCAGGTCGGTTCACAGATGCGACGCATGCAAAGGGGTCTCGGGTCGGCCCGTAGGGCTTGGGTTGGGTTTACCCAAACTCTTGTTTTATTTCCGGTATTATTCAGTGCGTCCGTGCGTGCGTGCGTTCGCGCGAGCGTAGGGCGTTGTGTGATATCACATCACATCAATTCCACACCGACCTGTGTGCGCCCAATGCTGCCGTCTATTGCAATGTGATGCCATGCCAATGCCATGACATGCCATGCCGAGGACCCCATTCCCCCTCCCTATTCCAGGTCTGCAATGAAGGCGCTGTGTCTGGTAAGGCGCACACCAGAAGCAGAGGACCTGCTGGCAGACATGGCGCACAGGGCCGTGCTGCCAGACATGGCGCACAGGGCCGTGCTGCCAGACGCCACGCCCTTTAACAACCCCATCTTCCGTTGCCCCTTTGCCCCCCTCCCACCTGCTTCACCACCTCTGACTGACTTCCCAGGTCGGCAGTGAAAGCTCTCTGTCTGGTAGGGCGCACAACAGAAGCCGAAGACCTCCTAGCAGTCATGACGCACAGAGGCGTGCTGCCAGACTCCACGCCCTTGAGCGGCCCTCGCATTTCCCCCTTTCCCCTGCTGCACCACCCCTGTTCCCAGATCGGCAGTGAAGGCCCTCTGTCTGGTGCCCAACCTGGGAGGCAGAGGACCTGCTGCTGGGAGACATGGCGCACAGGGGCGTGCTGGCAGACATGGCGCACAGGGGCGTGCTGGCAGACATGGCGCACAGGGGCGTGCTGGCAGACATGGCGCACAGGGGCGTGCTGGCAGACATGGCGCACAGGGGCGTGCTGCCACACGCCACGCCCTTCAACTCCCCCCATCTTCTGTGCCCCCTTCCTTTGCCTTTTCTTACCCGCTCCTCTTGCCAGCTCGGCGGTGAAGGCACTATGCTTGGTAGGGAGAACCACGGAAGCAGAGGACCTGCTGGCGGACATGGCGCACAGCACAGGGCCGTGCTGCCACACGCCACGCCCTTCAACGCCCCCCTGTTTCCCGCCCTCCCTCTGCGACCACGTGCGTGTCCCCAGGTCGGCAGTGAAAGCTCTCTGTCTGGTGGGGCGCACAACGGAAGCAGAGGACCTGCTGGCAGACATGGCACATAGAGGCGTGCTGCCAGACGCCACGCCCTTCAACGCGCTGATAGACGCGTACGGGGGAGCGGGGCAGCTGCAGCTGATGCGAGACAAGTTCTTTGAACTCACCAGCGTGGGACTGAGGCCAGACGTGCGCACGTTCAATGGGCTCATTAGAGGCTTCGGCAGGTGAGGGGTGGGAGAAGGATTGCTTGTGATGGGGTGCTGAAACACACGTGTGTGTGGGCGGGCATAGGGGGGGGGGGGGGGAGTGCATGGCAGCTGCAGCTGATGCGAGACAAGTTCTTTGAACTCACCAGCGTGGGGTTGAGACCGGACGTTCGCATATTCAACGGTCTCATTAGAGGGTTCGGCAGGTAAACAGTGGGGTTAGAGGGATTGATTGAGATGGGGTACACAGGTGTGTGGTGTGGGCGGGCGCAGGGGGGAGCGGGGCAGCTGCAGCTGATGCGGGACAAGTTCTTTGAGCTCACCAGCGTGGGACTCCGACCGGACCAGCGCACTTTCAACGGGCTTATCAGGGGCTTCGGCAGGTAAATAGAGAGGGGGGTGTGCGGTTAAAGGGGGACTGGTTAAGAAGGGGAGTTGCGGCACACGCGTGCGGGCAGCGGGGCAGCTGCAGTTGGTGTGTGTGAACTTGTTGTGCAGCGGACAGCTGGGCAGTTGCGCAACAAGTGTTCTCCAGCAGAACAGCTGGTGGGGCGGGTGGGGCGGGTGGGGAGAGTGGGGAGAGTGGGCCGGGTGGGGCAGGTGGGTGCAGGTACAGTACAGGGAATATCTTTAAAATGACCAGTGAGGGGCTGAGACCTCTCGTGTGCACGTTCAATTCAATGGGCTCATCAGAGGCTTCGGCAGGTGGGAAATTCGTGGGTGGGTGGGATGATGAAATGTGGGGCACTTTGGGGCTTGGTGCTTTGGTGCTCCATAAAGCAAGCGCAAGGCTGACCCCGTACTTCTGCCCTCTTCCCTCTCCCCCCCCCCTCTCTCACACCCAGGGCGGGTCTGCTATCAGAAATGGAGGCGGTGTGTGAGAACATGCAGATGGGGTACCACATTGCACCCAACGCGCACACACCCTTGAGGCTTGTGCCATACCGTGCCTCTCTTCCATACCGTGCCTCTCTTCCATACCGTGCCTCTCTTCCATACCGTGCCTCTCTTCCATACCGTGCCTCTCTTCCATACCGTGCCTCTCTTCCATACCGTGCTTCTCTCCCTCCTCTCCTTCTCTCCCTCCTCTCCTTCTCTCCCTCCTGTCCTTCTCTCCCTCCTGTCCTTCTCTCCCTCCTGTCCTTCTCTCCCCCCCTCTCTCCCACACCCAGGGCGGGCCTGTTGTCAGAGATGGAAGCAGTGTGTGAGAACATGCAGATGGGGTACCGCACTGCACCCAACGCACTCACACCCTTGCTGCTTGCTTCCCGTGTGCCTTACACTTCCTCTCCTCCTTGTTTCGCCTTGTTGTGCGTGCCTCTCTCTCATCCACACACAGAGCCGGTCTGCTATCAGAGATGGAAGCAGTGTTTGAGAACATGCAGATGGGGTACCGCACAGCACCCAACGTGCACACCTTCCACGCCCTCATGGACGCCTATGGCGCCCACGCCCTCACCTCCCTGCACCGCCACGACTGCAGTGTGGAGCTGTGGTCTGAGTCGCAGCATGGAGCCAAGCAGAGACAGCCGCAGCAGGAGCAGGAGGAGGAGGAGGAGCAGGCGGGGAGACGGGAGGGGAGGCAGCAGGAGGCCAGGCAGCGAGGCGGAGGGGAGCGGGAGGGGAGGTTAGGGGGGTCTGAGAGGAGGGGAGGGGGTGCTGATGCATCGGAGGGGCAGCAGGGGGGGAGGCAGCGGAGTGCAGAGCGCAGGAGGGGTGTGTTTGAGCGCATGCAGCGCACGCTGCTGCATCTGGTGAAGATGCGCTACCGCCTGCATGCCGAGTCGTTTGACCTGCCGCTCAAGTACCTCGCTCAGGTGCGTGTGCGTGAATTTGCTGCATCTGCTGCTTCAAAGCGCCCCTTGGGTACCTAATTCAGGTGTGTGTGCGCCGCTGCTGCATCTGGCTCAGGTGTGCATCGCTGCTGCATCTCGTGAAGATGCGCTACCGCCTGCATGCCGAGTCGTTTGACCTGCCCCTCAAGTACCTCGCTCGGGTGATTCTCTGCTGCCCTTGAACCTGGCTTAGGTGTGAGCCTCTGCTGGTTCGGTACCTGGCTCGGCACACTGCTGTGGTTGCCAAGTCGTGGTGCCTCCACGCCAAGCCTAACCTTGCAGTTATAATCGGTTGGTTTCGAACCGCTGCAAGCCTTCTAAGAAATTAAGCCTAACCTTGCAGTCGCTCAGCACACTGCTGCTCCGCTCCTATCCTTCAACGTCACAAAGTGTGTTTCGTTTCGCCTCACGTGCACCACTGCAGGCGGGTATGGTGGAGGAGATGGAGAAGGTGTTTCGACTCATGAGAGCCATAGGCGTGCGCCTCACACCCACCACCTTCCCTCCGTCTTTCTTGGCCTCTCACTTTTCCTCTCCACCTCCATGCATACTTTCTACTGCAGGCCGGTATGGTGGAGGAGATGGAGAAGGTGTTTCGGCTGATGAGAGCCATCGGGGTCCGCCCCACTACCACCACCTTCACCCTTCTCGCTGATGCCTACAGCGCCGCCGGGCAGCCGAAACAAATCCTGCGCCTGCTCAAGCAGATGCAGTCCATGCCCCTAGCTGCCCGAAAAGAATCCAACTCCACTGCCAACAGCGGCAGCGGCAGCGGCAGCAGCAGCAGCAGTAGCAGTGATGGTGGCAGTGGTGAGTCTTCCAGTGCACGCAGCAGGCTGCTTGCTGCTGCAGCAGTGGCGTTTGCCTCAGCTGTTGAGATCAAAGACATGGAATGGTGCCTGTTGCACCTGCACCCTCTCACCACCACTCCCCAACCATCCCCTCCCTCCACCCTCTCCCCCTCCTCTCCCTCCTCTCCCTCCTCTCCCTCCTCCTCCCCCTCCTCTCCCTCCTCCTCTTCCTCGTCCTCCCCCACCTCGTCGCCCTCATCCCTCCCCCCTCACGCTCTGGCTGAGCCGGCGCGGCTGCAAGCATGGGTGGGGGCGGGGGGCGGCGGCATGGGGGTGTTGTCGGCAGCAGTGGAGGCATACGCGCGGGCAGGCATGCTCTCTCACATGGAGGCACTGTTCATGGGGGCTCAGACCTTGGGGATGGGTGCACGGGGGATGGGGGTCGGTGCACGGGGAATGGGAATGGATTTGATGGGTGCACGGGGCATGGGGGTGGGTGTGGCAGGAGATGAGGGAGGTGTGGGAAGGATGGGGGCACGTGGCATGGCGGCACGTGGCATGGCGGCCGGTGGCATGGGTGCGAGTGATTCAGATTGGGGGGGAGTTGCAGGGGAGGGCGTTGGAGGTGGGAGGATGGGGGAAGTGGGGGTGCGTGGTGGGGGGATAGGGGCAAGAAGTATAGGGGGAGGGACGATGGGGGGAGAGACCATGGGGGGAAGGATGATGGGCGGGGGGATGATGGTGGAGGGGCGAATATGGGGAGGGAGGGAGGGGAGGACATGGGAGGGGAATGGAGGGGGGTCAAGGGGGTGGGTAGACGAGCCTATGGGGACAGGGATGGCGGTACGTGGAGGGGTTGAGTACGGTGCCAATGGTACCTATGGATATGGTGGTGATGGGTATGGTGGCATGGTAAGTGGCCATACAGAAGTCTTCTCTTTACCCTCCTCTCCCCCTCCTCATCCCCATCACCACCCCCGCGGCCGCCACCGGCTCGTTTTGTCCTCTTCTGCATGCAACGCCATGGCTGAAGCCTACGCTGCAGTGGCCTCTCCGGGCGGCGTGAGGCGAGTCATGGCTTACATGCTTCGGCACGGAGTGGCCCGCGACGAGACGACCATTGCCGCCCTCCTCTCCGCCTGCGCAGCTGTTGCTGACGTGGCGGGCATGGAGGCGGCTCTGCAGCGGGCGGTGCGACGTGGCATGCTGGAGACGACGCCAGCTGGCGCCTACGTGGCGCCAGGCGGAGCAGTCCGGAGCCTGCCAGCTGGCGCTTTCGTGGCAGCAGCACAAGCGTTTGGAGGTGCAGGGAAGGTGGGAAGGATGAGGGAGATGCTGGGAATTGCACGGCAAGTGGGGCAGGTGGGGCAGGTGGGGGAGGCGGGAGTTGTGCCAAGTCACTTAGGGAACGATTCCGGTGGTGGAAGGGGAATGGGAGTGGGTGAGAGTAGGGGTAGGAATGGATCTGAATTGGGTGGTGATGGAGGTGGGATGGGAGGAAGGGGAGAGTGGTTCCTGAATGCGGAGAACCGAGCGTGGGCAGCAGCAGAGGAGGTGGAGAGGGAGTGCTATTTGACTGCCATCGATGCGTTTCTTGCCTCTGCTGATAATGATGATGATGCTGGTGATAGCGGCAGTGGTGATTTGGCTGACACTTGGAACGAGAGAGAGGGAGAAGGGGGAGTAGCTGGCAACAGATTTTCCGAAGCTGACTCACCAGCAGCAGCTTCGGCGATAGGTTCGGCAGCCGGGGCGCCCGAGGAGCCACCAGCTTTGGAGCGAGCGGAGGCGCTATTGGAGGAGATGCACGGGCGGGGGATGTGTGCTGACGTGGCGACGTACAGTGCTGTGCTGGCAGCGAGGGGGTACAGGGCGGTGGTGGAGGGGGCAGCAGAGGAGGTGCTTGAGGTGGAGGCGTGGGGGATGAGTGAGGGGGGGGTGTGCGCTGCTGCCCTGCTCTTGCTGCTGGCGCAGGCACAAGCACAGGCACAGTGGCAAGGACATGCACAGGGACAGATACAGGCGGACAGAACAGCAGCACCAGCAGCAGCACAAGTGGGATGTGTATCAACTGTCTCTGCTGCTGCCACGGCAGCTGTTGATGATCCTCTTGTTGCTGTTCACCATGCTGCAGCTGCTCCATCTCATGCTCCACCTGCTGCCGCGGCTGCCTCAACACCAGCCCCAGCATCCCGTCTGCTGCTCCACTGGCTCTGCTCCCTGCAGGCCGCTCGCTTCCGCCCTCTTGCTCGCTTCCTGGGGCTCTGGCCGGTAGAGGGTGGGATCACAGGGGGTTTGGTGCAGGAGGGTGGAATGAGGGGGGATTTGGGATTGGAGGATGGCTTGGAGAGCAGAGGAGTGGACCAGCAATCGGTGATGGGGAGAGAAGTGGGGAGAGAGGTGGGGAGGGAGGGATCACAAAGCCGTGGAGAGAAGTGGGAGCACCCAAATGCATCTGCTGATGGCGAAGCATCTGCCGAGGCGGCACAGGGAGAACGTACTCAGCAGCATTTGCTGCAGCAGACTTCCCCGGGCCAGCGGGAGCAACACTTGCAGAAGCAGCAGCAGCTGACAGGACCTGACACTCTTAGGGCTCAAGAGAAAGCTTTGTTCCACGACTTGAGGAAGCTTCTTAAAAGCGTCCTAGGCAATGCTCACCCTGCTTCCCTGCGCCCCGTTTTTGCCTCTCTTGCCGCAGCTCTCTGCACGTTCGGCAGGCTTCGCCGAGCCTGTTTGGTTTTGAAAGAGGCTCGGAGGTTTGGAGCCTATCCAACACCGCCGAGCCAACCTGTGCCGAGCCTGGCTGGCCCGGTTTGGTCCCTAGACCTGCACTTGTACCGAGGTCCGGTGGCAGTGCTTGCACTGGCAGTGTGGCTGGAGGAGCTCTGCTGGAAGATTTCCGAAGCTGAGGAGCAGGCTCGGGATGGTTCAATGGGCGGCTCGGGGGGTGAAAGGCCCGGAAGACAAGTATTAGAAGGAGACAATGAAGGGGATTATGGGCAACAGTGGCCAGAGCGAGCAGTTGTTATATTGGAGGCCGGCGGGCATGATTTGGTTGAGCCATCACAAGGGCGGAGAGCTGTGAGAGACTTCATGGCTTGTAGTGAGTCGCCTTTTAAAGCGCTCAGTAGTGATCCGTATGGGCGCATGGATGCAGAGGTGGATGGGCTGAGAGAATGGGTGGATGGGAAGTGGCCCGAAGGAGGTGATGTGGAGAATATAACTGGAAGCGCTGCTTTGAAGCACTTCAGGCCTGGTCTGTGGCAAGATGTGAGAAACTTTCTGCTTGCTTATGTTGAGCAATAAGTCACGTTTTGAGCCTATCAAGTGGCTCAGCGATACTATATTAGTAGTTCCTAGATAACAGTTCCATATTATTGAATATGGGCACACAATAGGCGTGCCATAGCACATTCCATTGTTGTGCCCACCCTTCTATAGGAGTGATTTTGCACTGCCATTGTGCTCATATGTAACCCACCATGCAAAGAGCATGCAATTAGTTTCCCTGGGGTATGGCCATTGCCTCCTTCATTAGTTCCCTCCCTTCCCTCTGAAGTGATCTTTAGGGTGTTACATGCCCGAAACACATGGTTGCTTTGAACAAAAGGGGGGTGTGAGGAGTGGAACTGGTGGTAGCAGGCTTTAAAGGGTTTGTTTTGGGGATATTGTATTGCTCATGATCTGGTTAACGTGCTGACAGAAAAAATGCTTAGCTGCACGGATGCGCAGTGCTCGGGATAATGTGAACCCCTTGAAATAAGTTCTTATCCCCATGGTGAGACTACCTTACCGAACAGCATAATGTCTCTTCTCGGCCTATTTCAGGACCATCCAACCTCAAAAGCCCGTGAGTCAGACATCCCACCATGTCCCTATTCCCACTCCCAACATTTGATCGTCACGTGTTGTTTTGTCTCTTGGCCGGTTTATTGGATTCGCCTTCAAAATTCGCAAAAGTCAGTCAATCATCACGACTTGCTTGATCTTGGCCGTTTCGCTGTCTTGAAGAGGCTCAGTGGGCTGTATGGGAATGGGGATGGGATGGAAATGGAGATGGCAAACGTAAAGCACCCAAGCCACCGTGGCTGCACCCCACACTCCCACGGTCCCACCGACTGCATGGGGATGGGATTAGGGATGGGAATGGGGATGGGATGACCGATGGGCATGGGGATAGGACTAAGTATGGTTATGGGTATAGGAATGGGATGGCCGCGTGGATGGGACTAGGGATGGGCATGTGGATGGGAGTAGGTATGGGTATGGGGACAGGACTCGGGAAGAGCATGGGGATGGGAGTATGGACGGGCATGGGGATGGGAATAGGGGTGGACACGGGGATGGGACTAGGCATGGGCATGGGGATGGGGCTACTGGTAGGCATGGGCATGGGAATAAACATGGTAATGGTGATGGGAATCAGGATGGGCGTGGGGATGGACTACGGATAGTCATGGGAAATTCTATATGCATGGGCATGGGAATGAGACCATTTATGGGTATGAGGACGAGACTAGCAATAGGCATGGGGACGAGACTAGGATGGGACTAGGAATGGTATGGGAGTGGGAATGATCATTGGACTAGGGATGGGCATGGGTATGGGACAAGAGATGGGCATGCAGATGGGAAACAGGATGGGTATGGGGGATGCATAAAGGGATGCGCATGGGTATGGGAGTGGGAGTATCGATGGGGATGGTGATGGGGCTTTGAATGGCCAAGGGGATGGGAATACAAATGTGCATGAGTATAGGACTAAGGATGGGCATGCAAACGGGACGATTGAAATGGGGATAGGAATATCCATGGGCATGGGAATGGGATTATGGATCGGCATGGGAATGGGATAAAGTACGGCCATGAGGACGGGAACCTGGAGGGCATGGGCGTGCATGAGTAGGGATGGGCATGTGATTGGGACTAGGGATGGTGGTAGGGATGGGACTAGGGATGGTAATAGGGATGGGACTAGAGATGATAATAGGGATGGGACTAGGGATGGTAGTAGGGATGGGACTAGGGATGGTAATAGGGATGTGATTAGGGATGGTAATAGGGATGGGACTAGGGATGTAGTAGGGATGGGACTAGGGATGGTAATAGGGATGGGACTAGAGATGGTAGTCGGGATGGGACTGGTGATGGTAATAAGGATGGGACTAGGGATGGTAATAGGGATGAAACTAGGGATGGTAATAGGGATGGGACTAGGGATGGTAGTAGGGATGGAACTAGGGATGGTAATAAGAATGGGACTAGGGATTGTAATAGGGATGGGACTAGGGATGGTAATAGGTATGGGACTAGGGATGGTTATAGGGATGGGACTAGGGATGGTAGTCGGGATGGGACTAGGGATGAGCTTGTGGATGGAAAATGGGATGGTCACGGGGATGAGAGTAGGTATGGGCATGGGGATGAGACTAGGGATGGTCGTGGGGATAGGAAAAGGGATGAGCATGGGGATGGGAGTAGGGATGGGCATGGGGATGGGAGCAGGGATGGGCATGGGGATGGGAGTAGGGATGGGCATGGGAATAGGAATGTGAAGGGGCACGGGGACGGACTAGGGATGGCCATGGGGATGGGACTTGGGATGGGCATGGGGCTGGGACTTGGGTTGGGCATGGGATGGGAAGGGACTAAAACGGTCATGAAGAGGGGATTAGGGATGGGCATGGTTTTGGACTAGGGATGGGAATGGGGATGGGGATAGGACTGGGCATGAGGATGGGACTAAGGGCGTAGAAATGGGACTGCGGATGGGTGGGAATTGGGAAGGGCATGGAAATTATCATTTATATGGACATGGGGATTGGGCTAGGCATGTGAATTGGGATAGGGATACGACTACTAGGGATGGGCATGGGTTTGGCAAAAGGGATGGGAATGATGATGGGACTAGGGATGGGCATTGGGATGGGTCTAGGGATGGGAATGGGGATAGGGATGGTCATGGGAATGGGACTAGGAATGTGCATGGGGATGTGGATAGGGAATGGGCATGGGATTCAGAATTGGGATACGCATGGGATGGGAGTAGGGATGGGCATGGGTATGGAGATGGGACTAGGGATGGGCATGGGATAGGTCTAGGGAGGGGTATGGGGATGGGACTTGCGATGGGTATGGGGATGGGAGAAGTTATGGACATGGGGATAGGACTTGGGTTGGTGGGTATAAGGATGGGACTAGGGATTGGCACGAGGATGGGACTAGGGATGTGCTTGGTGATGGGAGTCGTATAATTGAGGGGAAAGAAGCGAGGGATGGTGCTAGCAGCGGTAGTGGTGCTGCTGCTAGTGCTGCTGCCACTGCCACTGCCACTGCTGCTGCTGCTGCCACTGGTGCTGCTGCTAATTGTGCTGGTGCGTGTGATGGGAGTGGGTGGAAGTTGAGGGTAGACAATGTTACCGCTCAAGACGATGATGTGTTTGTCAGAATCAACGAGTAGGAATGGTGAACTATGACATAAAAGGGTTGTACCCCATATGGGCTACCCCACTACAGCCTACATCTAACAGTTATACATAATTTGACACACCCCCATAGGCGAAGTGGGGGATAGCAAACACAACAAAGGGTCACAAGACCAGTCAAGAGAAGAGACAAAGCAAAGCTTAGGGTGGATCTCAAAATCACCACACAGTCCGAGCACAAGCAAGTAGCCACAAGGCTCGTTCACATGCAGAGTTATATCAGCACAAGTAGTACAGTGATCACAACCTAGCAAGAGTAAGCAAGCAGGTATATATATATCACAGTACAAGGCAAAGTCAAGAGACAAGCAAGTGAGGCAGGGTAGGCAAAAGACCTAGAGCAGTGCAGAAACGCTGATGATCACCAGACCCTAGGGCCTTGGTGAAGATATCAGCAGTGTTGGCTTGTGAGGCCACGTAAGCAAGGCGAAACTGACCACGCTGCTGTAACTCTCGTGCAAGGAAGTAACGAAGGGCAATGTGCTTCGTTTTGTGCTCCAGTCTCTGCTCCCGAAACAAGGCAATCATGGCCTTGTTGTCGACGTACAGAACCGGAGGAGAACGAGGCCGCTCACCAAAGTCGGTTAGCAAGTAGGCCAGCCAGTGTTAATCCTGCGCAGCCATAGCCCCAACGTAGATCTCAGCCTCACAGCTGGAGCTAAGCACAGAAGACGAGCGAGTGGACCTCCACGAGACAAAACATGTGCCGAGACTGAAAGTGTAAACCTGTGACGACCGCGCGGCAAGGTCAATAGCCTGCGCGGTTTGACAGCCCAAGGCGTAAAGTTGGCGAAATTGATATAATTGTTGAACACCAAGATCCCGTATCCAAGCTGGTACTTATTATTTGCGAAGCTGCGAAGGTCTACATTATTTGCGCGGGTCAAACTGGTATCACTGTGCGGATTTTTTTCAAAATTGCGGCGATCCAGATTATGTGGCAAAAGGGCCTGGTCGTCAGCCCAAGAAGTGTCCGAGTGCCCTGTGAGCACAACTGGGCCCTGTCCCCCAAGCACAAGCCCCACGCCTGATGTACTGCACAAGTAACGCAGTACCCTCGTAGCAGCCTGGTAGTGCTCAGGGCGGTGTCTCCCGGGCGCAACGTAGCGCGCCAGGATGCTGAGAGGGTACGCGAGGTCTGGTCGAGTGCACGTCATCTGGTACATGAGGCAGCCCTCAAGCTCTGGATACGGACCACCCGGCTCTACGGACTGGAGCTGAGAGCGAGTGGCTCGTAGGCAGAGGAGTGCACTGTGGCGAGGCTGGTCGTGAAAGGCTTCACGCAGGTGTACGGCGCTGACTACGACGAGACGTACGCGCCGGTCGGGAGCTACGTCATGCTGAGGATCTTCCTCAGCATCGTCACCGTCCTCAACCTCAGACATGAAGAACGACATGAAGCTCGACATGAAGAACGCCTTCTTGCAGAGCAAGCTTGACCAGGTGTTGTACATGTACCAGCCGGACTACTACAACGACGGGACCGGCCGGGTGTGCAAGCTGCTGAACAATCTGTACGGGTTGAAGCAATCGCCGCCGCTGTGGTACAGGGTGCTCGGCGCCGTGCTGCTTGGCGCCGACTGGAAGAAGAGCCAGGTCGACGAGGCACTCTACTGTAAGGTCGGCGACGATGGGGTGACCTGCTGGGTGCTGGTCTATGTCGACGACCTGCTCACTGCCAGCAGCAGCACCGCGATGCTGAAGGAGCTACCGGAGGCCGCCTTCAAGCTGCGCAAGATCTCGCCGGTCGTGAAGTACCTCGGGCTGGAGATCGTGCGCGACAGGCCGACGAGGAAGCTGTGACTCCACCAGCAGAGCTAC